GAAAATATGCCAACCACAAGGAGAAAACAAAATCCTCCTTATTTGAATAGGTAGCACTCACCCAGGTGTTTCTTCATGTCCCCAAGACTCGTGAATTTCATTGTCTTTAACAGGGCTAATGCACCAAAATCCTTACAAACAGGAGCTTGAAAACTGTTCATAATATTAGAAATAGCACAATGAAGTGACATCCAAATTTGACTGTGCTGCCAGTGCAGCTTCTTTTACGCAGAGCGTGTTATGTTGTGTCCTGAAACACACTCAGAGAGCAGAAAGAACATCTGCAGTTCTTATTATCAATTAAAATTTCTGCAGCACATCTACCTACACCATGCTATGCATGTGTAAAATGGTCCAAAAATTAGTATGTAGCAACAGATGATCTCTAATCAGCAACCAGCCAGTTTAATGGCTTTAAACTGGAAGAGGGGAGGTTTAGATTAGGTATTAGGAAGAATTTATTTCTGGTGAGGGTGATGAGACACTGGAACAGGTTTCCCAGAGAAGCTGTGGATGCCCCCTCCCTGGAAGTGTTCAAGGCCAGGTTGGATGAGTCTGTGGGCAACCTGATCTAGTGGAAGGTGTCCCTGCTGATGGCAGGGGGGGTGGAACTGGATGATCTTTAAGGTCCCTTCCAACCCAAACCATCCTGTGATTCTCTAACCAGTTACCTATAGCCTCAGACAGATTTAGTAGTCCAGACTGTCCTGCCCCTTCAGCCCTGTCTCTGCTCCTCCTGCAGCTCCTATGGGCCTTCGCTCCTTTGCCTTGGCTTGGAGTGGCAGCAATGGGATCATGCCCTTTTGAGAAGGGGGATCTCTAGAAGTTATCACCCCTTCATCCCCCACATCATGAGGGGGGCAGGAACACAGGAAATTGAGAAGGAGGTGCTTGTGTTGGTCAGAGGAAACCAGAACACAGGAGCAGCTCAGAAACACTCCATCGTTTTTGCAGCACCCACCCACTCAGTGATCCCAAGCTCGGGAAGTACCCTACTTGCTCCCTGCACCTTGCTTGATGGGCCGCTCTGCCCCATCCTGGGACAAATGCCAGCACAGGGTGGTGTGTAACGGCCTCTCTTGCTGTTCTGAGTCAGAACCTGGAACGCTGTGAGCACAGGCCAGCCAGTACCTTGTCTGCTTCCAACGTAGTTATGAATGGAGAAGTTTGGGACCCCTTTCTCTTTTTTCTGGTCCCTAATCAAAGGAGCCTACCGCAGATTTAGCCATTACAAAATTGTGCCATAACATTTGTCGCAGCCTGCAGAGGGTCACAGGGTCACACAAGTCTTGGACTCTGTCCCCACTGCCTGTGACAGGCCATGGGAACTGGCTGGCAGCTGTCGGTGGAGATTCCTTCTCCTCGGGACACGCTGACGTGGTGGCACCAGGCTGGCGCTGCGAGAGTGAATCAGCACCTCGCGTGTAGGAGTGGTGCTCCCTGGACAATGGCAGGCCTGGGAACTGCATGCAGCCACTCCTTATCTTAGACAAACTTTGCAAGGAAAAGCAAACTGAGTTTATTTGACTAAACTGCTTAACAAATCAGCACCTGTTCCTTGGAGGAAGAAAGGGGGCATGAGTTACTATGACAAATAGCTTTGAGACAAAAGTGACTTTTACCATTTTGAGAGACTTTCATGATTGTTTCCTGGTTCCCTCCAGGCAGCAAGCTCCCCTGTCCGGTTAGCCCCAAAGACAAGTTATGCAGCTGTCTGGAAGTGGGATGGAACCTTTTAGATAAACTTCACCCTTGGGCTTTGCTTTCTTTGAGGTGAGCATGAACTCGCAGTGAAGTTCCCCTTCTTATCCCGCTCTCTGGAGAGAGTTCTGCTCAGTGTAATTCCACCTTTATTACTTTCTGAATCTCCATCCTCAGGTCTCAAGTTTTGAACTATGTGTAGTCATGGTTGTCAAGGAATAGCCCTGGAGTGGTTCTCCTGGTTAGGCAAACCCAACCAGGCTTAATACTGGGTCAGCTGCAAATGAGTATCGTAGCATAATGCGAATACAAATGTCTCTCCTTTTGCCAAAAAGTTTCATCACCTTGAGGATTATGACCTTGCATTCATATGGGTTTAATAATATCTCATTTCAGAGCTATTCATTACACAAGCTGTAAGTGAGGACAATGAATGAAGCTCATTAGCAGTTTGATACAGGCTGGATATGATGGCAGACCAACAGCCATGGGGACAAAAGTGCATTTGAAGCAGCTGACTCCTAAACTCAGCATGCCAGGATGATGGACGGGACACTCTGGCCATGATGGTGTTCTTGGTTGTTGCACTTTTGTTCCCTGCTGCTAAGCAGGGCAAAGGAAAGGTTTCCTGAATCTCTAGCTGACACTTCCTTAAAGCCTGTTCAGCCCCAGGTGCACAACGCAACCTCTGCTCCCAGGCAGCCAGATGGCTAGCTGCAATCCAGTCACTCTTTAATTAACTTTGGGTTTTTTTTCCTCTGGGTGTTGTTTCTGGGAGAAAGGGAGCTGACAGCATGTTTGTTTGCATGAGATTGATTTGGCCTGGCAGTTCCCTGGGTCTATACTAAGAATTTTGAAGTGTCTTTGAGTTTTGTTATCACCGTAAAAGGAGTAGAAGCTGAGAATCCAAGGGGATTTCCGGGATGTATCTAAAGAAGTTATGTAAGTATGGAGGTTTATTACAAGTCATAAGCAGATGGGCATGCACACAAAACAAAGCTGATGGGGGCAAACTAATTTGAGGCCTTGGTTACTGTGCACTGTTGAGCTGCTACAGTGTATAATTAACTTTAAACGCAACTCCAACAAACACTGACCTGTACGCAGCTCCTCTAAACCCTGTGGAGTTGCTTGTGTGCATGGAGTTACACAACGTACGTAAAGCAACTGTTGGAGGAAAGGTTCAAGATGTATCCCTCTGCACAGAAGAAAATGCCAATCAGCATTTATCACCTGATCTAGATTAAAAAGCAGACGGTGTAAAGAATCTGCATTAGGAGTTAGCAAATAAAATGTCCAGGTATAAAACTAACAGGTAGAAAGAGAAAAATATTTAAGTAACAGATCAAAAGTAATTTTATCCTGCAATCCAGAGATGTGAAACAGCTTCTACACTTGTTAACTAGCTGCCCCCAGCAGCCAAGCTGTGGCAGCACAAACGTCATATTCTACCGAGAGCCCAGCTAAGCACCAAGTGGGCTAGCAAGTGCCAAGCTCCATCTTGCTACAGAGGACCAAAGCACAGTCTAGAAAAGAGCAAGTACAAGGGGAGTGGGGAAGCTGTACCAGCTCACCAGGTCTGAACATAGGGTAGAAAGGATCAGAAAGAAAGGAGGCAGCCAAATAAAGGAAAAGAGACTATGGAGTGTTTTGCCTTTAAAAGTAGCAAGTCTGGAAAGCAGAAAGGGCTGAAGGAAGGAAAGTAATTTTGAATCAGAATGGTCTTAAATGTAAATGATGAAGCACATTTCCCACATCTCACTGAAAGGAGATCTCTCTAGATGGAGAACTTCAAAATGACTTTCAGGGCATGTCGCTTGTGACATCAGAGCATTTTGTAAAGCAAGGCTTTGGGACCAACGACGTACAACTCGCAGGCTATAATTTCACTGCAGAGATAAGACAAGGGCTGAGCTGCTGCAAAAGTGTGCTTGGAAAATCGCAGAGGTGCACCCTGCTATTTTGCATCAGAGATTGCTTTTTTCATTATTATTTGTTGAACCATATCTCAGATGAAAAAGCAGAGTCCTCCCCCTGGTGGCAAGTAAAAAAAAACCTGCATCAATGATTTTTTACAGTCATGTCAATCCAAGGCTATAAACGAAGTAAGAACCATCAGATAGGACTTATTTTTTTACTAAGTCAACTGATACATCTGGGAAAAAAAAGAAAATTTTGCAAAACCCAAATCCTTTTTCAGGACTTACACAGAACTATTTACTTTGAAGGCTGATACAACTTGAGAATAGTTGCGAGTTCAATTTCATGTTTAATTTATTAAACAATTCGCAAGAGAAACAGAGGATAAAACCTGTAGAATAGCTTTTAGGACGCGCAATAATCCCATTATTTCCACTGAGTCCTTGTCTTTTAGTGCCCAATTGAGTTTTGGTGTCTAAAATCCCTTAAAGGCAGACTCGCTGGGAAAGTAAAATTCATTATGCTACTGAAGAGTAAAAATGGACCCAGTAGACAACTTGGGTTTATTGTATACAACAAGTTTCCCCAACAAATGTCCTCAGATAGCTCTTCAAAAATTATCTGTAGAAAATTATCTGTGTTTGTTACAGGAAATTATGGCAAGTGCCTTTTGGACAGGATTATCTCCTTTAGATGACTAGTTTGGTGGATGAGAGGAGAGCAGCAGGCATTGTTTTGGCTTTAGTAAGGCTTTTGACACCATCTCCCACAGCATCCTCATAGACAAACTGATGAAGCACAACCTAAATAAACGGGCAGCGAGGGAGATGGAAAACTGGCAGAACTGCTGGGCTGAAAGGGGTTCATCACTAGTGGAGTACTCCTGGGGTCAATACTTTAATATCTCTATTAACAACCTGGATGAATGGACAGAGTCCACCCTCAGGAAACCAGCAGATCATACAGAACTGGGGACAGCAGTTGATAACCAAACGGTTGTGCTGCCATTCAGAAGGACCTCAACAGGTTGGGGGTCTGGGCAGAGAGGGTTGCCAGGAAGTTCAACAAAGGGAAATGCAATATCCTTCACCTGGGGAGGAATAACCTGTGCACCAGTGCAGACTGGGGGCTGACAGGCTGGAAAGCAGCTTTGCAGAGGAGGATGTGAGAGTCCAGGCAGAGAAGTTGACCATGAGCCAGCAATGCGCCCTTGTGGCAAAGAAGGCCAACAGCATGCTGGGCTGCATTAGGAAAAGCATTACCAGCAGGTCAAGAGAGCTGATTTTCTTCCCCTCTATTTTTATTTTAATCTCCAGTAGATATTACCCCACCCTTAACAGTATAGGTAGAATAAGAATGGCTGAATTATAATTACATTAAAAGAAACTGTTGGGTTTTAATTATAAAAAGGAGAAACCTTCTTCACCTGTGACACTCAACATTAATAACCACTGCAACACAAACAGAAATATATTCCCCCACCCTCAAGAATGGAAAGCTATGCCCTTAACCACAAAACACTGTCTGCATACTTATGTTTAAAAAGGTTTAATTTTCACCCTGGTACAAAAATACAGTACAATGTGATGGCAAGGCATTCGCCATAAAACATTCAAAGAATAAAAGGGGAACCCCCATAAAGCTTCAACATGACCCACCCTCACTTGATAAAACAATGAAAAGGTGAGTGCACAAGGAAAAAGTTAAATTTCTGCCCAAAGGCAAATAAAGATGAATCACACACAGTTTTACACAAAAATATGTTTCCAGAGCTAATAATTTCACATGCTACTTGGACATTCATGAAATGTATTCTGCTTGGTTTAGTGGCAGAACTAATGGTTTGGGAGGTCAAAAAAACGCCTGGCCCAGGAACATGCCCCATTCATATGAATCCCCAGTAAAAACAATGGGATCACACAATACCAGTGAGAAAAGAGGGATCCAACCCGGATTAAGTGTCAAAATGTCAGCTACTGCTGGTTATTCCAATTACATTGTTTGTCCTCAAATCAACATTTTGCCCTACACACCTCCCTTTTCACACCAAATATTAGTGGTTGCTCAAACACACAAACTGATGTGTTTGCACATGACTTAGTTGCAAATAACCATGACAGTACAAACTGCCAGGCAGAGGAGGAGATAACGCTGTAATTGATGCATGTGTGTGAACTCCAAACAGGGTTTAACCTAACATTGTTGACAGGAGAATTATGTCCCTCCAGTGCATCTACATTCTTGGTCTGTTTAATCATTTCCTTTTAGAGTTTTGAAGTGATGAAAAAGCATTGTTCAGTGTATTCATTATAGTTCATCTCCCAGGTGTTTTTGTTTGAAAGCATCACCTGTTAGCTTCTCCTGGGCTTCTTTCATCCCTTGGATAACTGAAAGATTAGACAGAGAGACAGCAACTATTAATCTCAAGATGAAAACATCAAGGTGGCCTGGTAATGAAAGTGATTTAAAATAAGAGTTACAGAAGGTAGATCTACAAATTAACCTGTGGGGGAAAAAACCAAAACCAAAAACAAAACCCACAACCCAGTCCTATGCCTTTTTCCCCAACTATCTGTAGCTGGATCATGCAAATCGCATGATTTTCCACGCCACAGCTGGAGACCAAGTTTAGGTCCTATAGACATTATAGTCGGTATTAAGGTGAATCATGATTCTGAACATGGCTCCTCAAGGCCTAGGAGAACCACTCACTCATGTTGTATCTAACAGCTCCCAGTTACGCTGTAAAGTATCATCACTTTTCTCCACTCAAAAGTGAAGGTGTGTCCTTCACTCAGGACACACCCAGAGTTTCATCTCACTAAAAACGCACTTCAAACTACTTTGCACATACCTTGATCAGCATTGGTATAGAAATACTTGTAGCTGGGGTTTCCTTTCTCATTTATGATTTCTGGGTGGACTTTTCCACTGGGGTCTATGAAACAAGAAATCAAACAGGACATTTAGGTGGTAACAATAAGAACAAAGTTCTGTGAGTGGATACAAGAGCTGTGGATGCCTTACCCATGAAAAGGATTCTGGGAATGTAACCCCCATCAGGACTAAAGGCTTCATCCTTTGGCTCTTCATCATCCTACCAAAGTAAGACCGAAGAAAGGGAACATATTAGCAAGATATCTACAAAAACACAGCACTCATTTTAAACAAACAAGCTATTGCCTTCAGATTCCATTTACCCTGAGCAATTTACATCTTGAACAGACACTAGGTAACTACCTTATCTTCCACTCTCAAAGGAAAGCAAGTTATTTTTACCTAAACAAGTATCATTTGTTAAAATAATAATATTTTTCTGTTCTGACAATTTGCATTAAATGCTCCACTTTGGTGTAGGAATGTTTGATATGTCATGAGAGAATTTATATTAATTCCTTCATTGCAGCAAAAGACTGACACAAGGTACAAATTGTTAAAGAGACAATGGCAGAGAGCCAGGTTTATAAACACAATTAAAATAACCAGACTGAAGAAAATTCTTTTCAAAACAATCAGCTCTATCAATCAACCCTGAATACCTATTCAGAAGTGCATGATCTAGGATGTACAGAAACAGGATGCAACCAGTTAAGCAGGATTCCAAATGTTTAATAAATGAATACAAATCAAAGGGCAGCCTACCTCAAGGTTGACCATAACAAAATTATGGGCAAGTTCAGAGATCTCCTTGGATTCAGCAAACTTTGGCTTTAAAGCTAATTAAAAGGGGGAAAAAAAAAAAAAAAAGAGAGAGATGTGTAAAGACAGAAGAAAATATTTCAGGTTTTCAGCTCAGCATCAAAATCTCAACTTCATTCCTCCCTCTGGAGAGCTGGTACTTTTCAATAAGCAGTGAGTAAATGGAAGGTAGGTATCAAACTGTTCCAGCCAGGCTCAGAACAGCAGGAAACTGAAGCAATCCTTGCTGAGCAGCTGTATGATGAGGCTTGGCCAAAAGACATATGGGGTCATATTTGAACCAATGGGACAGAAGCAAAAAGCTTGCTGTTCTCACTCAATCTCCTCATCCTTCAGGCTTAGCCATTACACCCAGCTTGTTTGTTCATGATTCTGAAAGAGACAAAGCCTCATCTTTGAAGAACCACCAGCTGAAAGGTAAGGCAATTTACACTTAATTCGTGAAGATCATTCATTGTGTTTCATTTTTTACAGCCAAGTGCAGGAGAAATTGCAGCCAGTACAGAAGTGCAGTATTACAGCTGTTGTTTGCTAGCATTTAGACATGGCTGGCTTTTGGCAGTGCTAAGGGGTAAAGTGGTGCAATATTATATTGCTCTAAATGAAATACAAATACCATTAGCTACATTTTGAATGCAAAGTTCATGTTTTTCAGTTACATGATCTGTATACGAAAGTTCATTAGAAATTTCAGCAAGCTCTGGTATTAAACACACTGACCTTTGCAAGCTCCACACCAAGACTTGTGGATGATAACCATTAGAGGCAAACCACTAAAAAAAGGAAGAAAGGAAGAAAATTTTAAAGAAAGCTTAACAGTTGAGACTAAACCAAATTCTATTACACATACATTTTAACAGTCAAGACTTCTACAAAAGCTAAATGTAATAGAAAATAAGAGAGATGTAAAGAGATTCTGCTGCATTCTAAGGTCGTCTTGCAAAAGGTTTTCCCAATCTTAAAACATGTAGAATAATAATTTGCTATAACTGCCAGCCAAGAACTGCTCTTCTAGAGGAGATTTTATCTTTGAAAGGTTTGCTCTTACTAGTTTAGGTTTGCTGAGATACACAACTGGTCATGCAGTTTTTTTACCAGAGGTGTTTAGTGACACTAGCTGTTTGAGAGATCTCAGGATGGATTTTCGTGGCTGCTTAAGGCAATCCAGTGGGTGACAGTCACACACCCATCCCTCTCCCCACTATGGTCTGTATGTTGCAGTCACCTCCTGTGACTAAGACCCTCCATGGAGCAATAACCAAACACAGTAACCTGGCAAACCCTCTGGCTGCCAGGCTAGCTTCCTACATGTTGGTATGTCGAAATAAAATCTGTGACAAATGTGACAAGTGTCAGGACTGAGAAGGAGCAGGACAGGGCTGCATGGAACTGCAGCCTAAGTAAAGTGCAATGCAAAAGGACCAAGGTTATTCTTTATTATTCTCTCTCTCTTCCCAAATAATTCACTTGACCTTTACTACCTATACTACCCTGAAGTGAAGTTTCCATCACCCTGAGATATGTTTTATTTAACCCTGTTCTTCAAAAATCCCTTTAGCGTTTTAGCTTCTACCAACAAAGTCAAGCTTACCAAGTTCAATTTCTCTAAGCTCCTTTATAACACACTCAGGCTGCATTATGCAGTTAGACAAAGAGGCCTTAATTTCACATACTTCCTGGTTTTAGTGCTGGTGATCCAATTAATCCACCATTTCACTGCTCCTGACTATTTTGTATCAATTTTACCTTTCTAAGAAGAAAAGTGATACAACTACAGGCAACTTTTGTTGCTGTTTAGTACATCACTTACCTCCACATTGCTGCATGTGGAAATCCTTCCTAACACTGTGATTGTTTCCACCAACAGTTGAACTGGTGAAAGCTGAATAGGGCAATAAACTAAGAAAAACTAAGAGCAAGAACCGGGTATCTCACCTCTTTTCTCTTACCAATAAACCCCTTAAGCTATGGAAGAGTATCCAAGGGAAGCTGGTAATGATGATACAGCTTCCAGAGAGTAAGAACAGCCTAAAACTAGGTGAAGGAAAAGAAGGAAGAGAACACACAGAGAACATACTGCATGGATACTTCTTTCAGGATATGCCAAGCAAACCAAAGTTTAAGCTTTCTGCTATTATAAACTCTGTCACCTGTTTTGGGAGTTAAAAATTAAGTGAATTTCTCACAAACAGAAAAATTACAAATACCTTCACACATGATGGCAACTATATTAATTACTAACAGAACTGAAGTACAAGTTCTTTAGCTGCAGATAGATATGAAAGGAAATCTCTACTTAGCAGCATTCAGTCATGGCCTTCAGAACCAGGAAAGGGTGGAGAGGAAGCAATCAGCATTTAGAGTAGTTCAAGCAGAAGTCTCCAATTAATAACTAAACAATATGTTATCATCCTCACATAAGCCTTTGTCTGGAGTGAGGAGCAAGAATACACATTTCCCTGGTAAAGCTTGTATTGCATCAGTGTCCTCTCTCTGGTGAGAAAAAAAGCACTTTTTTCCCATTGTTTCCACATAGTCCAACATGATTTTGTCTCTTTCTTGAGGAGAGGCTGATTTAAGTCTGGAAAATATATATTGTTCTTATCATCAAGAATCAGTGCCTCATGTCAGAAGAGCTCAATCATCTGGTAATCAGTAGTGCAACAGTATTTTTTTTTTTTTTAAGTTGAATGATTTTCAAAGCAACACTAAATGGAAGTGCTCACAGTCCTGAAATACCAATTCTTAGTGAGAACTCACATAAATTTTAGATATATTGAATGTATTTTATCAGCTTTATTCTCTTTACTTTGACTGTGAAAATAAACTTACTTACATCAAAACATTTTTGCAGTCATATCTCAGTTCTGCAATACATAAATCCACCTAGCAAGCTAGTGTGTCAGAAAAACAGCCACTGTAATTGAAGTAACCTCCCTGCCCCACTTTACCATTTCCTCCCAGGTAGCACTACACATACAATTAAAGCCAAGAGTCACAATTTATTAAAATGAGGCATGAAGCATCCAGCAGAAAGTGAAAAGTTTATATAAGCTATATATATAGTATAGCAAAACCTGAAATTAGTTGAAACTAAGTGCAAAACTGAGTTACCCATCACAGCTGGTACAGACTTTTAGGAGAGTTTCACCCAGAACACTGTCATTTTGGCTCATTTTTTCTATGACATACTCATTCTTAAACAATTAGTGTTTTTAAAGGTGTTTAATGAAGACCTTGCAGAGAAAAGACACAGCAAGTTATTTCAATAAAACAGTCCTGCAGGTAAATGAAGACTCCATTTAAGGCACACATTTATTGTTAAACCTGAAGCAGAGAGGTTTGAGTTTGCTAAGCAAGCATCCTTCTGTTGCGTGGAGTTTGCAAATCTATCTTCTGGGTTCTGTATGATTTTTTTGAAACAGGCACATCCCAAAAATCCAGCCTGTTCCAGGTGTGGACCTGAAGTCTCTTCTGCAATTTGACATTATCTGGACATAGTCTTGAAAAAACAATCTTCTTATTCAAGATATACACGTGCCAACGTGGAGGGGAAAAGTTTCCCTATGGTCACCACTTTTTGGGCTTTTGGGTTCAGACACTACTTGACTACTGGGGCTTAGGTCTCCATAGACTTCACTTGCTTGCAGACGCAACAGTAGCTCTCCTTTTTGAGGGATGCAAGTGAGGAGAACACGGGGGTGAGGGACCAGCATCCCTACAGATCCTCTTAGCAATACAGCTGCTGCAGGGACACGGCATTCATCTTCCCAGAGCCGCTGTTGCCACACGATCTGATGTGCGACAGAGGGGATCCCAGCTCCGCGAGGTCTGTGGCTGGAAGGCAGGTTCTTACCGTCCCAAGTACTGTGGGACCGGACCACGGCCACTGCTGTGCGTGGCACAGGTGACAGGGCTCACTGGATGCTGCGGCTCAGGTACTGCAGGAACATGCTGGCCAGCTGGGGCAAGTTTTCATCGCTGGGCTGCATCTTGGTGTAGGTGATGAACTGCCTCCGCAGCCGGCTCAGCTCGGCCAGGCTCACGGGCCGCTGCAGCACCAGCCCTTCGGCGACGCCGGGGACGCGGACCACCTCGCCGGGCTGCGCCCCGCTCCTCTGGGCGGCCATGAGGGCGGCCAGGACCTCCTGGGTGACGCGGTCGAGGTGGTGCAGGAAGGTGCCGGACTGCAGGGGCT